CGAGTACCTGGAGAAGGACAACCAACGCACCCAGCGTCGCTGCCTATGCTGTTCGCTCGGATTAGGTCTAATGATCACCGGAGCCTTCATTGCAATTATCGCTCTGCTGTACGGCACGGTGCTGCCGGCGGTGATTGACAATGCGGTTAAGGACGGCGTCGCGACCTGTAGCACCTCGGACATCGAGGAGGACAGCTACCTCGACCCATACGCCGACTGCGACGACTGCACGCCGTACTACTACAGCCTGCACATGATGAACGCGACCAACGCCGAGGCCTACCTCGCCGGAGACGCCGACACGCTTGAGGTGCAGGAAATGGGCCCGTACACATACCGTCGTCGTGAGGTCAAGTTGGATGTTGAGCTTCTGGACGATGGAAATCGCGTGAGCTACAAGCAGTACACGTACCACACGTTTGAGCCGGATATGAGCTGCGACGGATGCTCTGATACCGACGAGGTCACCGCTTTGGACGCGGGGTACATGAGTGTTATCGCGGGTGCCGGCGGTGAAATGGCCTTCCTTGTGCGCTTGGCACTCGGTTCGTTCGCCAAGGGCAGCAACACCAGCGCAGCCCTCAGCATCGTGGCCGAGAACGGCCCGCAGATGATGCGCTGGGTCAACGGTCTCAACTCAATGGACCCGGAGGCCATGCGTACAGTAACCAACAACAGTGCCGTACTGACCTTCCTAGCCACAGGACCCGACGCCATCGCCGACATGGACCTAACCGGTTTTGCGTACAATGGTCTCTTCGCCAAGCGCACCATCTCGCAGTGGGCTCTGGGTTACCCGAGTTTGTTGGCTGGATTGGGTCTCGGCTCCAACTACCTGAACCTGTGTGCGGTGGACGGAGGACTCAACGAACAGTGCGCAGCGTGCGCGACTAGCACCAGTGCTGAATGTCTCGCTCTCTATGGTGAGTGCAACAAATGCGCTAGTGGTGCCAGTGTTGTGGCCATCAACGAAGAAACGTGCGCCATCATCGAGGCCACGTACGCCGCTGCATATGGAGCGGAGGAGGCCGCCAGCTTCGCCGGTACCACTTGCGGGCTGTGCAGCTCTCTCGGTCTGTGTGCTGCCCCTCTTCCCGGTGTTGTCGAGTCCAGTGGCCGCAACTACTCTGTTACCGCCCCCAACGCGTCCTCCTTGGGAACGTATACATTGCGGACGGGCTGCGACGACGCAGACTACATCAACGAGTACGAAGAGTACGACGGGTACACGAAGACTGCTCTGTGGGTGGACCTGGGCGAGCGCCGTAACCCGACTTTGACGGAGGTGAACGCCTTCGCTACCTATGGTAATTGCGCTGCTCCGACGTCTAACATGACGTGCAGCCCCGTGTTCGGTAACGACGCCACCAGTATCGCCCCGGGCGGCGTGAGCATATCCGGTTTTGAGGACAAGATCTCGATTGCAGGCTTCAACATCTACCTGAGTCAAGGTCGTCAGAACTTGACGCTGTTTAATCAACACCAGGAGGTCGAGTACGATGGCATTACGCTGCACCGATGCCGACAGTCTGGCGGACCGACTTGCAGCATTTGAGAGGAGGGCTGGACGTGAGGGAGGGACGGGACCGGTGGGAAGAGGATG